GTTTCCCCTGTAGCCGGCAGAACACCTGCAGACATTAGGCGACACGCACGATCCGCCATTATAGCAGGATGGTGAACAAATCGCTGCCAAAAAACAAACAGCAGTCTTACGTTAGTCAGTCGCACCAGACTCCCGTGGTATTACCGTGCACATGTCTTGAGATTTAGTCAGTAATTTTAGGTCTTCCGAACTTACGTTCACTGCATGTGTTTTCCCTGTAGCCAGCAGAACACCTGCAGACATTAGGCGACACGCACGATCCGCCATTATAGCAGGTTTGAGAGCAAATCGCTGCAAAAATAAGATAAAAACAAAAACAAAAATTTGCGACTTTTCCACGTCGCGCAAAGTAGTTCTCAGTATCGGCGTACACTTCCAATATCGTTCACGGTGTCTGATCTCCAAGTAGTCTTTGAGGCATGCATACTGATTGGCTGAAAGTGTGCAATGTGTCTATGTGGTCGCGGTGCATTGTACATACATTTTTGCGTCTATCACGTTGGCAAAGGAAAGGACTTATAACCTTGGTGGTAAGCCCCACACCATCATATTGCCATGCCACTTTGTATAAACAGTCGCCTTTCTTGATCTCTCTTCATCATTCATTGATGGAAATAGCCTCACTCCTCGGTAAAACAAAATCACTGATTCACTCCTTTACTCTCTGTTGCTTTCCTTATGGGCATAGGTAATTACTTCTTCGTTAATTCATCTTAGTCAGATGGTTTACGCCTTACCTGTGAGGCAGCGGTTGCTGCCATCTCTCCTCCAGCCCGGGCAACAGTCATAAGCCGTCCTTAGAGCGGAGCGGTACCTTGTGTGATACCTTGTAAACGTTAAGAGTTGAAGAATGGGCATGACTGAATCTCAGAATGAATCATCTGAGGGCATCAAGCTTGTAAAAGGTTGGACAGCTGGAGTCCGCAGAAGTAGGCAAGGCTGAAGGTTTATGTCCTTGCTTGGAAAGGCATAAGGAGCAGTTCGAAAAAAAACATGGTGGTTGTCTTTGCTTCATTTTCTACTACTAGAAAAACCTGATGAAAAGCAAAAATAACCGCTCCGTGGGAAATGATATCCTGTGAGTTACAACTGCCATTTCCAGACTCTGCTAGTCAATTACATATCATACAGTTGGGCGTGTAATCGCCAGGCATGCTCTGATGTGGCCATAATATGGCCATGTCTGAATGATTGACTGTGGTTCACAATTGCACCCGCGTCGATGGGAGTGGCCTTTTTTTTTTCTATCACGAGCGATTCACAATAGTGCGCCTCCAAAAGTTCTCAATTCGTTGGCTAATCACAGGCGACAAATCTGTTAACCTTTTCCAAACGCGCACTGGGTCGACAGATTTCGCGCATTGTGATTGGCTAACGCGTTGCAAACTCTTGGAGCCGCACTGTTGTGAAACGGCCGTTGCACCGACAACTTTCTAAACAAACTAATAAAGCGACCTTTAATACGTTCTCCTTCTGTCTTTTCCTGACAAGAACCCAAACATATACATTTATTTTATTTCCTTAACTATACTTTAAAGTATTATCACCCAATGGGAGACTTTGAGACACTTTCTGGCAGCAAACATAAGGGCCAGCCCTTTTTACCAGTTTTGAGCATGCGCACGTTGTTCTGAGTATGCGTGCTTACTTCTGAGCAAGCGCAATACTGTGAAAGTACTGGTATGTCCGCTGACACAAGCGTCCCCAAGTCTCCCATTCACTAAACGTGCTTGTATTTTTTGAAGTCAGTTACCTCTGCTGTATGTTCCTTTGACCTTTTGTACCTCGTTGTCATTCAAACAGAATGAGATTTATTTATGTGCAGAAACCAATTGTGCAATGCTTTTTACCCAAAGCTGCATCCTCACCGAGGAATGAATGGACGTCGTGTGTACATAGCGAACATAAGTGCAGCATGGAGAAATCGAACTTCAAAATGAAACTGTCATGTTGGTATTACGACAATTTGGGCTTGGTAGGATAGATTTAATGGTGCTTGTTTTTCTCGTTGCCTCTATTAAAGTCACATTCAACTTCCGATCTCAACTCATTTTATTTCCGTATTGCTGGATTTATTGAGGGAAAATCAGCAGAGCGATAGCCCAATCAACGCGCGATTCAAGCCATCACTTGTTCTTAATTATGAACTAAATAAAATTAAGAAGAAACTCAGGTGACCCGCTCACAATTCATTGTCCCTGTTTGATACAACAGCAGCTAGGGAGGGGCCCAGTCGTGTGTTTGTTACTTGTTGACAATTCCAACGTATAAATGTTTGAACTTTGATTACACCGACAGAATTTTGCAAATTAGATGGATGAGACTTTTGAAGTTTAGCTTTTGTTATCAAACGTATCCAGTATTTGTTTATTTACAAATGGTACTCCATCAAGGTGAAGGAGCCTCAGAGAGCTGGTGGCTGTGAGGGCTACATCCTTAGAACAAGGTTACAGTGTAGGTGCCCCGTCAGATTCAAATTATTGAATCAACTGGTCACCTCACTCATTTCTCACATGACTGTCTCTCAAAGAGATGCACGACGACCACATTGAAAAGGGGTCGCTGGACACCCATGCAAGAATGATTCCACACGTCACTGAACCAAACTAAAGCGTTATGAACTCCAAGAGACAATGAGCTGGTGCTGGGATCACGTGTCAGCAAGGCTCTTGCGCCAGCTGTTAAGGATTGAGTGTACCTCAAAATGTCCTGGTACGGAAACGAATGGTGTCCAAAGTTCAATCCCTAGTTGTAATTATCTCTACAGTCCACTACCTAATTTGCACACTAATATGTGGCATTATAGGTTCTTACCTGGTACGTCCGCATCGGGCCCAACCCCAAACCCCGCAAGATTCCGTGTAATACTCCGATCCTGATGTTGTCTCGCGGACATAGTAATTACGTGGGCATATATTTCTGAATGGGAAGTTGAAGATTGCAAAATGTAAATCAGATGAATGACTAGTTGTGATTGGTCACCGAGAAAGAGAAATCCCGTGGTAAATTTCCCCCAAACTGAAATTTATCGGCGAAAAGAAAGCTTTTAATTTTAACCCTCCGCTGCAGGAGTATAAAGTACTGTGGCAATGTTTTTTGTGTGTTTGTTTTTTTTTTGTTTTTATATTAACCCTAACAGTCCCAAATCCTTTACCTGTTCGAGGATTGAGGACTGTTAGGGTTAAACTTTAACGTGAAACTATGTACATAAGTGTCCAGCTAATCTTCCTTAGAATTACGAATCAATTAATTTTTGGATGTGTGTGTATCAAAGCGGTTTAGCTAATTTTCGCGACCATTTTTCATGGCGCTCAATTCTTTTAAAGACATTCAGATTTGCCCTTTAACAAACATCCAGACAAACACTGAGAATCTGTATGTGTTGGTGGAAGGGGGTGAGTTCAATTTCACACTTAAATTAATCTTTCAGTGGAAAGGTACTCCAATCTTATCCCCATCATTTTCAATAACCTTAAATGCAGTGTTCGATTTCGAATCAAGGGCAGGTCAAGGACCAAATGTTTCACGAGGGAGGCAATTTTTTTCGGGGGAACAAATATTTTGAGAATTATATGTATGGAATTTCTATGGACGTTATGCTAGATTTTATGTGCACTGGAAATGAAGGAAATAAAAAGTTATAAAAAATTACTTTTATCGGTATAAAACTACCCCCGCCCACCAGGGCACTCCTTCTTTAGCATCCACCGGGGTTTCTAATTTAAACCCTAAATGTCATCTCGTTTCATACGATATATAGGCGAATAGGGAAAAACGAGTTTGACGTCACGAGAAATTCAAAGTGAAATTTCGCTCCAGCTAGTTGAAATGTGCACAACACTTTCGCTAATTCGAAGCGCAGGTATTTGACATGACTTCACGAAGTCGCGTTCGTGTTTACTTTCGCGGCAAATTTAGGCCTAAAATGGCCTTTAGATCTCATTTTTGCTGGCAGTCTCGTTACAGATACAATATTCCTATTCGTTCTAATTTCAGGTTAATTAATGGGTCTCTCGAGGTTGGTCAGAGTGCAACTGAAAAAGCCAATTTGTCTTCCAGCCATTCATGTTTAATGCACCAGTCGCTTAGAAATTCCACAGGGACGATGCTTGTGTATTCAAAGAGCAATGTATTCAAAAATTAATATATTGCCTAGAGGGAGACCGAAGGATAAGGGTATTTTGGCAATAACAATGTCCAGTGTTTATTAAGATTGTTTTCGATGTCTGTCATAATGAAGGAAAAACATACACATTTCACAGGAACCTATGAGCATAAAGTTGTACAGTTCAGAGGACAGTATAAGATAACATCATTTTAAAGAATACCCTCTGCTTTTAAGAAATGAAAAAAAATAGATTGGACGACATTTCAGAACAATAAGAGAAACAATTTTCCATAAACTGCTGAGATAAACGTTTCATTACAAATACTGAATGACCGCGCCAGTAATTTCAATTACAGTCGAGAACTACACCTTTAGGAAAGCGTTATCTTGTGGTGCTGATTTGGAATCGAATTCCACATTTTGGCTTACAGAAATTGTGCGACCAACTTCAAGTGTCCTTGTATCGAGAAAAGTGTTGAATAATTAATCAGACGGGAAACCTGTATAAAAAGCTCTAAAAAGCAGACTACGATTAGAAAAACAACTTCTTATTACAGGGGAAGGAACGTAGGTAAGACAAATATAGAGTATTTACGCCTGTTTCAAGAACAGCAAGCATAATGTCCCCACCCCCGGCTGGATGTTCACGGCTGGGCACCTTTAGGACACAAAAATACGCCACTGCATCCTCACTAGAGATGGACCTTTTGGTTCAACAGCATTTTACATGTATAGTCAGTCTGTGTTGCACACCTCGATTTCATCGCCCGCATTCAAAATAGTTATAAATAGTTATGTGCACATTACGTAGGCAAGACATGACTGTACGCAATGGCATTTGTTAACATGTAATTTCATAAATCGTATTCGTCGGTGGAGGTAAAAACACCTGTTTTCTTTCCCCTAAAAACAAAAGCGTTCGTAAAAACAACTGCACTTTTTTATATTTTATTTCTTCGGCATGCTGTTTTGCAACCATGCTCTAAATCCCTTAAGTTTCTGATTTCTTTCCCATAATTCCGTTATCTGTGTAATTAATTCCTTAGATATCGGTTTCTTAACTAAAAATTTCCTCTCTTGTTAATTGTAAATAGTGGTGGTTAGTGTATTTGAAATCCCGTAGAAAAACTGTCCAGTTATGAATTCGTGTCATTTAAATGAGTGTACGCTTATATTTGAAACTACACTTTTCCGTAGTGCGGGCTTGAAAACTTAATTTGAGTTTTCTTTTAACAATGAACTTAAGCTGCATTCGAATTCAAATTGAAGTAGATTACTCTGAAGCTAATTTGGGTAAAAATTTTGAAGTAATTATTGACAGTGCCAACTTATACAACTTTTCAGCAGTAAAAATCTCTGCGAAGAGGCTGTTGCATTGTACGTCCAAGTGGGAGCTTGGCTCACTGTGAGTCACACTGGCAATTAGGTAATTAGGCACTATACATAGTATTTTTTCTGCCTCTGTGTCCTCCTTCCATTAATATTTTGTCAAATAAATACAATGGAAAAGGGTATCCCAACCAGAAACAAGAAATCTGACTGTAGCGGCTGGGCCATCTAGGTCTATCCAAACACTACAGTGACAAGCCTGGCACGACTCATTCACAAGGGGGATTGATACTCCCATGCACTTATCCTCCCAGGAAATGCAAGAACGGCAATAAACCTTGCTCCATACTTGTTTACACTGTATGGAGAGCCACAAAGCATTTAATCCCTGGCTCAGGCAGTCATCAAGGGCATTGAAATCAGTGGCCTTCTGCACTGTCACTATGGGGAGGGGCATTTTTGTACACAAACACACAGGAGCGCCAGGGAGTGGGTATCTTACCAAACCAAATCAATACCAGACTGACCCGGTGAGTAAACCCCCCTCTAAAAGGGTCCAACTTACAAAGTCAGGACGTGTGGGCCTGCTGCTGCGTTGGATTGTTGTCATGTGATACAAATCACGTGATTGTGCCTCAGCTTGAGGCACGCTCACTCGTCCGAGGGCGTGTCAAGTGTTAAATATATCACAAAAGCCAACGTAAAAGTGAATTGATTTACTGCTTCTTTCTACCTCCTAGTTTGTAAAAATAAAGCACATTATACTTACTGCCCATGCACTTGATTGTTTGATAGGGCGTCCAGCAGGACGAAATATGATAACGTTCGATGTAACAAAGCTGCCGGCCACAAGACAGTCATCTCGCTAGAGGAGACATCAACAAAGCATACCGACTACAGAGTGTTACAACTTCGACGAATTTAGGGGTGGAGGAGCACTAGCCCCGGGGCCAGATTTTTCAGTGTACTTATGAAGGGTCAACGAAAATTCATGGGTTTGCAACAGGTTCGAGGGGCTAGAAAATTGCCGTAGGTATGCCACAGGACAGAAAACCAACAGGACAGAAAAACCAACAGAACAGAAAAACCAACATTCAGACAAAAACAAGAAAAGTTCCGAGCCTTATATTTTGATTTTGGGAAAGCTTTAAAGTAGATTGTTCAGAGCTTACTCGATCGCGAATGTTAGCTTCCATCATTTAACCATCAACAAGAACTACTACGTTTCAGTATTAAGGCGAAGTAGAGTCCATACCAAGGGCCTAAAAATACTTCGTCGTGTGCCCGGCAAAAGGTCGTAAGCACGCTCAAAAAAAAAACGTTCAAAAAAAAGGATGTTTTACTGAATTTCCACTCAATTTTAGTTGTCTATGAGACAGACATTTTGAATAAAATACAATACTATAATAGCCATTACCAGTTACTCATCGGATTACGAACCGTGGCTTTTAACCATCAAATCAAGGAAACAGCGAGACTCAGTTGAGATTAGTTGTTGTTGATAGGATCAGAGGGAAAAAGGAGGTTTTTCAACAGCCTAAATCGGCAAGCAGATGTCTCTACAGGCGATGATTCATTATTTTCAGGTTGTATTTTCCTGTCAGTAAGGTATGCTTTTTAATCCTTATTTATTACACAGATTAGGGTAAAATAAGATTGTTGCCTTATGGGAAATTTTGTAATCGAATGTATTTCCCATATACATCAAGACACTATTGTTTCATTCCTTTGTCATTCCACTGTACTTACCAGTCTCGCTGTGGTAGGCGTAATCATCAAGTCCGAGACTGAAACGCAATAAACAACGATGCGACAACACCGTTTGCTGATGGTGAAATGGTTATTACATTGTAAGCGCTAATGACCCCCATCTCGGCATGAATTCATTGACATTTACCCCTTCATTATACGGAAGCGTAAAATAGACATCAATGGAATAGCTTTGACAGATGGCATGCATGGCGATCCAAAAAGGGAAGGGGAAATTCCTCTCTTTAAAATAATGAGAGAAAGATGGGTTTTTGTGTATTTCATTTGTCTTCCTTCCAATGACAAAATGCAGACTCGCTCCTCACAAGGGCCGCAAAAGGTTATAAACCATTCCAAATGTCATGCACCCACCAAAACAAATTGCTCCCTTGGTGTGATCCACCCTTGGTTCTGTTATTTGCCGTTTGCCCGAGCCGCCCACACCCAAAACCATGCATAATTCTCAATTTTCACCGTCAACAACCAAAATTTACTTGGGAAAGTTGAAAGTGTTCTGGCTTTCCTCTGGTGTTGTCAGTCATGCAAATAGTGTCAGCGCATTATTCTTTGTTTTGTAGCTTAAAAGGAGGCAATAGAATTTTTTTCAGTAGAAGGCGCCAGTAATTGGTTGCTGACCAGTAAACGAACTGCTCTAAACAAAAACATTTTTTCAAGATGCTGTCAGTCGCTTGTGTTTTATTTTAAATGGATACTTTTACTTCCCCCGGCTTTCTTTGTTTCAAAAGTTTGTCGTGTGTTCTTGATTTGATTAAATATTCATTACAGATTGTGATGTCATTAATTTGAATATCATAAGACGTATTTTGTTTAATAGTTAATGGACCATGATTTTCAACGGTATTAGTAAGTGGTTATGAGCTTTTGATTGTGCACAAGAAAAGAGTCTTTTGCCTGACAGTGCTGCTATTAAAGTTTCACCAATGTTAGGCCTATAGTTTGCTTGACAAACAATTTTGCACTGACTGTTACGCGCGCATTGGTCAAATTAAGAAAACATTACTATTATCAGCGCTAAGGGAAGCATTTTGGGGCCACGTGACAAGATTCATATGTGTGCTCGGTGTAAATAGGAACTGGAATTTGTGACGCCGAGTCAGATATTCGTTCTGCGAATTCGAATAAGATGAACACATGTCAATTCAAATGAATTTCGCACGCTAAGTTCTGTGCCGTAAATTATTTTTGCATGCCATTCGCCTGAAGCATTAAACGGTCTGTAGCAAGAAATTTCAAGAAGTAAATCACTGCTATGTTTGAACATGTTTTGATAGACAGAAGATAATTGCATCGGTCAAAATGTACAAGACTTGTTCGGGGAAGCCGCCATTACGCTCATCAGTACGGATCACGACCAAATTATTTGGCCATTATCAGAAAAATGGCATGCGAGAGTTACAGAGCTCTCCCAAGCCACAGACTAAAAAGGCTGACACCAGGCAAATTAGGAACTTCTATTAACAAAGCAATTAGTGTTGTCTGATAGTCCGCATCCGGGTTTGCTTAACCCTTTTCTTGGCCAAAAAGAACACCGTTTTTGGTCCCAAGTGTCAGTCTTGCACCTTTTAGCCTGCCTGCAGAGGGCGCTCTACACATACTGTCACTTGTAGAAACATGGCTGCTTCTAACACGACCGACAAGTTACATGTACGTGACTTGTGTAAAACTTTTATCATTAGTTATGCTCTACTTGTGCTTGAAACATGGTGACAGTGGTGGTAAGCATCAAAATCATTTATAGAAGCCTCTCTAACAATAGTTTGTCTGCTGTTGGCCCAAATAGCGAGATTTCCGATTGTGCGTTTTACGCCAAACCCCCATTCCCATGGAAAATTACTGTAGTCTGTATACTGCATACATGATGTACATACATGTACGTATGTGTGTACAAGTACGTTTATATTTTGGCATTGTGTTGCATGTACAGTCAGAAAGACTGACAGTACATTACTGTCGCATTGAACACGTTGAACTATGACATCCAATGTGACTTCTGCAGGAAATGCTCTCTCTCATTTCAACTTTTGACAAATGACTCTTATTGTCACAGTTTCTCTACCGTCGATGTCATGACTGTGTTGACCCTGGTGTGATGTTGCACAGCTACTGCGCAGGGTTCAATACTTAGGATTTTTTGCCTACACATACTGAACATGCTGAGTAACTGACCATGTGAAGAACTCAGGAACATTTATTACTCACTGGCGACTGTGAAGCACCATTTAATGTAGGGAGACTGATTTGAATCAAAGCATTCTGAGCAATCTCATGTCAGTATGCAGAGAGTTCACGTATGTCAAATTTGCTGTAACTTATTTCCTCATCAGGCATCACCAAATGCAGGTTTCCTCTTTCGAGTGAATGTAACTTGGTAGTTTGAGTCCAATAATTATTAATCTTTCGTTGAAAAATGGAAAACTAAGCGAGGTCTACATGCACCATTGATTTTTGACGGTTTCGGAATACTTCTTAAATGAAATTTGGTCATTGGAAATTTAAGTTAATAGAAATTAAAACTTAAAGGAATAAGCTTCCTTTCATGTAACAACCATTTTCATTTGTTTAGGAGATGAAGGGGCACTTTTTGGCAAATCAGACATTGACATAGGGAGGATTGACCTGCCATTCGTTACAATCCGGTCTACCTATAGCAACTGCAGCGTTTGTGTATGCAGTGTGCAGTGGCTGTGACTGGTACCAGACATATCCACGACCCTCATTTTCACCAACGTTTTGTCGATCCGACAATATAGGGGAATTCTGAAGTTTTTACATTTCAATTTGCGTGTGCTTCAATTGATTTAGTACTCTCCAATCCTAGATGACAAGGAGACATCTCTCCTTTTCAAGGCCTATACATGTATCTACAAGATTACATTTTGGTGCCACTTTTGGCCTGTTTTTACTGAGCATGCCAGTCTGATCAGTTCATCCCATGTAGAAGGGCGTACCCTGTGGACGTACGCATGTGTACATGTACATGTACACTTGGCATGTGCTTGCTCATATAGCAGTACCAAGAAGAGGTAAGTTTTTGTCGTTCAATTTACTCGTACTGTTTGCTTCTACGTAACCACGATAACTGCAGAACCCCTTCTCTTTCATAAAGAATAAAATATCAAATCAGTGCTCTGAAATATTCTTGACGATATTCTGATCACGGTGCTACGCAGCCCTTCCATATTTCCATTCTCTTCATTTCTGATTTCGAAGATGAACTTGCTGAATGTCTTACATGTACTGTGTTAATATTGATTGAAGGCTTATTTCCATTTTACAGATTTCTTGGCTGAAACTGATGCTACTGGCACTAGTGAAAGCAACTTTGGAAGTTTGAGGCTCTGACAAACTTAACAAAGAGTGGATTACGCGTTGCTGTATGGTGGTCCGTCCTTGCCAATAGATCGGGTACCAAAGAAGTCTTGGTCAACAGCCAGACCTTACTATGTGGTTGTGAAGGACTCCAACTTTCTTTCAAGGTTTGAGGTTCATTAACACAAGCACAGAATGAAACTTTGCATTTATGATGAATGCCGACCAGTGGAGGAAACTATTGATCCCAACTGCTTCGTGGAGAAGCATTCCAGACTGTCCAGCAACTGAAGATTGCCATCAAGGAGTCACTCCATGGCCAACGTCAGTGAACGTCAAGTTGATGACGGCATTTTGGACACAGAGTTGCCCATTCAGAAAGACCTGTTTGATGAATTGGAATCTCTTGCCCAAATCCATCACTACCACTTGGAACCACTGACGATCTTCAGCTCTCTGTGAGAAGGATGACACTGGCAAGTTTTCAATAGCAAAATGGACTTTCCATATTTGGTAGCTCACACTCACAGCTTCGACATGTTCGATGAGAGAAAGCCCCTATACCAGTATCCGGCTGATAGTAATTTGGAAATTATCCACAAAGGCTATATATTCAATTTAAAGTTTGTTCATGGAATGGGAAACTTATTTCATTTCCATTACTTCTCAAAGTAATTCCCATTGCATCCATTGTGACTTGTCTAATTTCCCTTTTCTTCATACATAAAGGCTCTTTTATGACTTACTAGCTATCATGATTATGTTGGATAGCAGGCATGCAACTTC